TTCATCTGGTTCAGCCGCCTACCCGAGGCGTGGTCTGTGACCTCGTGTGGTTGCCCAGCCTCTACTTGAATAACTGCAGTGACCCAGGCAGCTTAGCAGACCCTTCCATGTCCAGATAGCCCCGACTTCTCCTATTAAGCATGCAGAGTTGGCGTTCAGCTATTTGTTTCTAGGTCGTAAAGTAAGCTCTCCGTAGAGGCTTTTGAAAATGAAAATATTGTTCCTTTAGGTGATGATAAGCACAGGAAGGAGGCTTAAACCAACCATATTATTAAACAAACAAGCAAACCAGGCACCGAGACAGGCTGATGCTTTATGTAAAAAGACCACGCAGACAATGACAGTGCCCTCGTTAGAAACAATGGGTAATTGGTGTGCCAGCAGGAAGCCCTGGCTGATGCAGTCTGATGCCTCTGTGAGGGCCAAAGAAATGAGGAGTGAGCATTAAGGACAAGCTGCCCTCGATCAGCTGCGTTCCATTTTGAGCCAAGCTTGTCCTAGCAGATAGCATGCTGCTCAAAAATGTCTTTGTGATGCCCTGAGTAAATCCCATAAATCTCTTAAGGTGAATTTATAATTCTGTGCACGGATAATTCCAGTACTCAGATTTCGAGAACGTATACTGTTAGTGCCAGAAGGGGCCTGGGAGATCATTTAGGCCAAATAGCCTCATTTTACAAGTGAGGAAACTGAGGCCTGGTCTAGTGAGCTGCCGAAGGTCACACAGTGAGTTAGTAGCAGATTCCAGGTCTTAGGATAGTAAGTGCTCTTTCCACAAAAACTAAGCTATCTCAGATTCTGTTTGGTTCTGTTTATCAGCTCTTAAACAAAGCCTACTATGTGTACTGAGTGTCCTATACCAAGTTTTTGTTGTTGTTGTTCAGTCATGTCTGACTTTTTGTGACCCTGGTTAGGGTTTTTTGGCAGAAATACTGTAGTGGTTTGCCATTTTCTTCTCCAGCTCATTTTACAGATGAGGAAACTGAGGCAAACAAGGTTAAGTGACTTGCTCAGGGTCACACAGCTCATAAGTGTCTGAGGCTGGATCTGAGCTCAGGTCTTCCTGACTGTAGGCCAGGTGCTCTATCTGCTGTGCCATCCAACTGCCACTTCCCCCAGTCCCACCCCGCAAATAACATCTTTTGATGTATATACATATGTATGTGTGTGTGGTGTTCCAAAAGTCTTAATACAACTTTAATAGCTTAAATTTCAGTAGCTTCAAATAGCATTAAGATTTTTGGGATACCCCATATATAGACATATATGTACACCATATATAATATACAGGTATATTAGCTGCCCCTATCCCAAGTAAGATGTTGATTAAATCAATTTCATTTCAAATATTCTGGGGCTGGATGACCACTTTAACAACAACAACCATGGTCAATCAACAAATGCTTGTTATGTGCCGGGCATTGTGCTGAGCACTGGGGATACAAAGAAAAGCAAAGACAGGCCTTGGCCTCGCATTCTGATGAGGGAGACTACACATAAAAACCTGGGTGCATACAAGATACATACAGAGTAAATGGGAGGTAATATTACAGGAGAAGGCTTAAGTGTCTGGCAGGGACTGGGAAAGGCCCCTTGCAGAAGGTAGAAGGTGGGATTTGAGCTGAGCGTCAAAGGAAGCCAGGGCAATTTAATGGTGGAAGTGAGCAAGAGAAGGAAGTAAGGAAGGAAAAAAGGAAGGGAAGCCTTATTAAGCACCTACTATGTGCCAGGCACTTTGCTGTGCTCTTTACAAATATTATCTCATTTAGACAAGGAGATGGGAGGTGGGGTGCTGTGTGTGTGTATGTGTGTGTGTGTGTGTGTGTGTGCGTGTGTGTACATGAGCAAGTTGAGGAGACTCTGGCATTAGGTGGGAGATTGGAATAGCTACCTTTGAGGTACCCTCCAATTCTCAAATTTCACAATTGGCATTTGGAAAAATCATTGGATGACGGGAAAGGGCATAGTTTAAAAGTATTCAGAGATCGAAAGAACCATGCCTCTTATAGTTAGAGCAGCAATTCTTTAAGGGCTAAATATGGCTTTTAGGAACTGATCTGTTTTATGTCCTGTGGCAAATGATCCGCTACTGCCCTATGATATTTACCCCCTTCAAGCACATGGGGACAATGGTTCCATTCTCCATTTAGTTTCTCTTTGGTAGAGTTTGGTATTCAGCTCTCAGAGTGAATGTAAATAGCAATTGTTTCTGTTTTGGCCAGAAACCCTGACGGTCTTTCCCTCCCACATTTATTAATTAGCTAATTTATTTTTGACTAGGTAAAAGAGGTCATTCTCTGCCTCATTTCTTACCTAGCCTTAATCACTGAATGGCCATTGCCTCAGACAAACTGAGACCTGTTACAGACCTTAGCTTAGAAAGGCCAAGGTCTCCCTCGGCACCCTGGGCCATCTCCAGTCATCCTGATCTATGTCTTGCCACTGGACCTAGATGGCTCTGGAGGAGAGAGTGAGGCTGGTGACTGTGCACAGCCCTCCCTCACTTAAATCCAATCCATTTGCACTCATGGCTTCATGTCCCTGATGTCACAGCCCTCTTCGAGAATGAAGGACAGACAACAACCATCTTTATAAATAAACCTCCCCTAATCCTGAACTCCTCTTCCTGTTTCTGTACATTCTTCTGCCCTTTGGAAAGACAGTCCTTTGTCTTCTACCAACTGTTAATACCTTTTCCTTGGATAGATTTCCTAAGTAAATGTGACTTAATATTGCTTCCAGACAGGATCAATAATGAAATAATTGTGTCAAGTACTGATGATTCTAAAAGTTAATCTAGGGCATTCCAAGGTAGCAGAGTTAGGCCTGGTCAGGCTTCTAACAAATTACATAGAACTGGAATCTGATTACTAGACATGGAAAAGATTTACAGTTTTTCTGGTCCAGCCACCTTCATTTGACAGAGAAAGAAACTGAGGCCCAAAGAGGCAAAGTGATTTGACTATTAAGCAGCAAAGCCATCATTAACAACAATAGCTAACGTTTATATAGCACCTAAAATGTGCCAAGCACTGTGATAAATGCTTTACAAATATCTCATTTTGTCCTCATGACAACCTTGAGAGGTAGGTGGTGTTAATAATCTCATTTTGCAGAAGAAGAAACTGAGGCAAACAGAGGTTAAGTGACTTGCCCAGGGTCACACAGCTAGTTAAATGTCTGAGGCCACATTTGAACTCAGGTCCTCCTGACTCTAGGCTCAGCACTTTTTCCACCCAACTGGCCACTTAAATTTGGGTTTTCTGTTCCCTTCATCCAATGCTTTTTCCACCATGACACATTCTCTCCCTTATCACATTTGATGCAAAGCAGGATTTGGTGAGTATCATTCCTGTTTGACACGTATGGAAACTAAGCCTCAAAGAATTGACTTGCCTTTGTTAAAAATCTGGCACATTTTAGAAGACCACTGGTGTTAACCTTTGGTGTTCTAGCCTGATTTTTAATCCCAGATTTCTTTTGTTTCTATGGCAAATGTTCTGGGCAGCTGTCTGTTGAATTTCTGGGGCTAGTGACATCGCCCCCTGCTGACCAGTTGATTAAATTGCACCTGGAGATGATGGTGTGCCAGGGATGGAGGGGAGGAAAAATTGGATTCTAATTATATGATTAAGTTCCTTGAGATATTTTGAGGGAAAAAAGGTGCCTAAGATGACTTTTCTAAAGTAAAGTATTACCTGAGAGGCAGCAGGATGTAGAAGAATGAGCCCTGAACTGGGAGTTGAATGCCTTACATTCTGATTCTTTCTGGCTTTGCTACTAGAAAACCATTGGGCATATTCCTTCCCATCTTTGAGCCCCAGTTTCTTGAACTAGAACGCTAGTCCACTATAAAATAAGAGAAATAGACTAGATCATATTTAAATTAGATTATTATTCTTATTATATTAGATTATATTTAAAGTTCATGATCTCTGAAAATCTGTGTTAAAGAATACTTTAAAACATCTGTTATATAATCAGTATGGGCACCGATTTCATTCCCCTAGCAGAAGGCTTCATGAGTTGCTGTAATCAATAAAATTCATTACCTCGTGGTCAGTCCTTTGGGGATGAGTTCTGTCACCAGGGTTAGCCCGGCTCTTGGAGGAGAGATCGACAGTCTTTCACCAGGCCTATACACAAAGCCTTTTCAACTCGAAAGGGCCCGCCAGCACTTACACTTAATTTGCACAGCTTTCAAGGACCCAGGGCCACCTCCATGTCAAAATGAGACTTCTGAGGAAGACTTTTACTATAGGTGTCAATAAACAGATGCACGCCTATTCCTTTAATATCTTTCTTTAAACTTTTCATGATTTTCATAGTTTCTGCAGTTGAACTATTAGATGTCTTTGGGTTGGATTCTGCTTTTTGTTTGAGTTGCACAAAGTCTGATATCTCAAGCTAGGCAGGCTACCTAAATTCTGCTTTAAGCCATAGTGTCCTTTCTCAATCACTGTGAGAAAAGTGCTTTATAAACCTCAAAACGTTTTACAAAAGTGAGTTTTATTACCAGTAATAATGGTCACTTAAATTTGTGTGCTGCTTTAGAATGTGCAGGGTTTTCTCATCCATTATCTCATTCAGCATTCAAAAGCCCTGTAGATAGATAATGCAAGTGTTATTATTCCCAGTTTTACAGATAGGGAAACTGAGTCTCAGAGGGTGAAGCTTGCCTAAGGTCACATGGTAAGTGGAAAAGCAAGGACATAAAAGGCCAAGGCTCTTGACTTCTGCTGAAATGATCAACCTGTCTACTCTATCATGCTGCTTCCCAAATGATGGAAGCCTTCAAGTAGAGATTGGAAGACCACTCATCAGGGATCTTGTAGAGGAAATTCCCATTGAGGTACTTTATACTAGATAGTTTCTGAGGTCCTTTCCAACTCTGAGATGAGATTCTGTGGTGCCTTACTGATACTAGTGAGAGTCAAGCAGGAAATGTACGAGCCCAAATGACAAATGCCCTCTTCTCATCTTCTTGTTTCTCATTGCAGGTGACAGTTCTGGTCCTGTTTGCCTTGGCATTCCTGACCTGTGTTGTTTTTCTGGTGGTCTACAAGGTTTACAAGTATGATCATACTTGTCCAGAAGGATTTGTTTTTAAGGTAAAGCAATATGTCACCCATGAGGCACTGGGGATTCATGATCATGCCAGTCTATATAGGCTGTACTTCTGTCTTCCCCAGGTATAGTGTGTATAAAACCCAAGTTCAGTCAATGATCAGTATTGTTTTTCAATTTAAGCATGTATTTTTCCCTTTGAAGAGATATGAATTTCTTACATACTTAAAATTCTCAAACCATGATGGAGAGAACATATAAATTGAATGTTGAGGCTAACTGAAATAAATCATGTAGATTTAGTACTTGGTTTGGAATATAGAAATGTGCATCAGAGTAAGATACAGAAGACCTCAACTTACAGTTCCATCTTTGCCACTATGTGACCTTGGTTCAATTACTTCCCTCTTCAGGCCTTAGATTCCTTATCTGGCAGCTGAAGGGGTTGGATAAGAGCATATGATTTGTGTGGAGAAAATCTGGTCCAACTTCCCATTTATAAACAAGGAAACTGAGGCCCAGAGAAAGCAACTTCTCATTTATAAATAAGGAAACTGAGGCCCAGGATCACATGTGTAAGAAGTGCTGGAGATGGGGTTTGAACCTAGTTTTCTAAGGCTTCTCCTAGCTCTAATACTCTATGCCCTGTATTCTAAGGCTAATATATAGTTTTAATTTAATTCAACCAACAGTTATCAGGTGCCTATGTGCGGTGTTGGGGAAACATTTATGAAACAAATCCTTGCCTTCAAAGAACTTACAGTCTTGTAATAATTGTGAAAATAAGGATATCATAAATTTGTATGGTCCTTCACAATTCTCACAGCATTTTCATATTCATTATTTCACTTGATACTTGTAAGAGCTCTTGAGATAGGTGAAATATTCCCATTTTACAGATGAGGCACAAAGGCTTGGAGAAGTTGTTTAATAATAATGACATTTATATGGCACTCGAAAGTTAGCAAAGTGATTTACATACATTATCTCATTTTAACCTCACAATAACCCTCACAAGGTAGAGACTATAGGTATTATCACCATCTCTAATTTATAGATGAGGAAGCTGAGACTCAGAGTGGTAGTTACATGGCCATAATGTAAGCATTAGAAGTGGGATTGGAACCCAAGTCTTCCTGACTCCAATTATTTGGCCAAGGTCACAGGGTTAATAATTGACTGAGAAAAGACAAACCCAAATCTAACTGTGAATTAGAAGGATATGAGATATCAATGGACAGCAATGGTCACTATTAATCGTAAGTGAGAGTATGTGCAGGTTAATATCTGTCTTTTTTAAATGTAGTATGTACACACACATCAAAGGAGCTTTCATACAAATTTCTTTCATGTGTTCTTGAGCTGAGTAATACAGGTATGAGTTATAAACATATTTTAAGAAAAGAGTAAAAACCTGAAATGTGAGCTCAGAAAGAAAAGCAGGTCTGAAGATTTTTTTTTCAAATTGAAAATGTATAGCACAGAAGAGGGACAGATGGCCAGAGCTGTAGGCATTCTCAGGATAAGTCAGAAAAGGTTTACTGAGTATTACTGTGTGCTAGGGGCGTAGGGGATGCAAAAAGATAAGACATGGTTGTCTACCCATCCACAAATGCCTTTGGCGGCAAAATAGCAGCGTGGATTCTGAGGTCCTTTCTGCGAACTGTAGCCACATAATTTGAGTGTTGGAAGAGATCTCTGTGACCATCTGGTCCAACTCATACCCAGAAGGATTCCCTACTATTCCATAAGTGACAAGTAGTTGTCCAGCCTCTATCTGAACTCCTCTCAAGGCTGCGCTTTCCATTTTTGGACAGCTTTAAGTGGTAGCAACTGTGTCTTGACATCAAGCCTAAATTAGAGTCTTTGCAACTTTCACTCATTTTTTCCTGCTTTTGCCTCCAGTTCCAAAGGAATAAATCTAGTCCCACCACCACACGACAGCCTTTCAGATACTTGAACACAGCCATCCTGCAGTTAATGAGTTATTTCTTCTCCAGACTAAACATCCCAACCAAATTTCACATGGCATGGACTTAAGGCCCTTTAATATGCTGGATGCCTTTCTACGGACATTCTTCAGCTTACCTTCTTAAACTCTGGTGCCCAGAACTGAACACAGGGTTCCAGATGAGGGCTGACGAGTGCAGAGTACAGTGGGAATCTCACTTCTCCATTCCTGGAGGCTGTGTGCATCACACTAACTCACACTGAACTTGTAGTCCACTAAAACTCCCAGATCTTTTTTCAGAACAATCATGTTCTAGTTATAGCTTCCCTACCTTGTACTCATGGTGCTGATTTTTTGTACCCAAGGTTAATTTACATTTATCCCTATGGAATTGCATCTTATTAGATTCAGCCCCACGCTCTAGCTTGTTAAGATCTTTGGGGATCCTGACTCTTTCATTTGGTGTACTGGCTATCTCTCTCAGCTTTGTGTCTCATCTGCCCATTGGATAAGCATCTCTCGGTGTCTTTATCCAAATCATTAACAAAGATGTTCTGCGGCCCAGATCCCTAGGATATGCCACTGCAGACATGCTGCTATGTGGCCATTGAACCATTGATGACTACTCATTGAGTCCAAGCCATCCAACCAGTTCTGAATACGTCTAACCGTATCTGTTGTTGTCTAGACTCCACATCTTTCCATCTTCTCTATAAAAACAGTATGAAATACTCTATTAAAACCTTTGCTAAAACTTAGGTAAACTTTACCCACAACATTCCCACCAACTACTAGTTTAGTAATCTTGCCCCAAAGGGAAATCCAGTTAGTCTGGTATGACCTGTTCTTGATGAGAGGCTATGCTAGCTAACTCTTTCACTGATTCACTTCCTGTAACTGACCTTGGAGAATCCAGAATTCCCCAAACTCTTCTAGCCTGGTGAAGAATAAATCACTTTTCCCTCTTATCCATCAAAAACAAGATAATCAGAATGTGAAATGAAATGAAAAATAAATAGTGGTATTGGAAAGCAAGGGAAGAAATAGCAAAACATTTGGTAAAACCTATTACTGCAGCATTAGAGATCTAGAGTTGAAGCAACATCTGTGATTTCAAGTTCAACTTATTTTACAGACAAGAACACGATGTAGTGGATGGGGCACTGAAATTTGGACTTAGGAAGACCTGGGTTCAAATCGTGCCCTTGAGTAAATAACAGTGTGATCCAGGGCAGGTCCCTTCACCTTTTTGACTCATTCTTTTCACCTAGGGTTGGACTTATGACCTCCAAGTTTTAAATCTGTGATTCTATAATCCTATGAGGTCCAGAGAGCTGCAGAGACACTCTATATTACATATGTAGTAAATGGTAAAGCTTAGGTGAATAACTATGAAGACAGTTGTTAATTCCAAAACCTATTCTAGACCTAATCCTAAGTCCCTTCTCTTCCAGCTGGGATCATGTAATTTCTCCCAATTTTTGGTTTTTCCGTTAAAGGAAAACTACAATAACTCCATTGAGTCACATTAACAATAATAATAGCTAGCATTTATATAGTGCCTACTGTGTACCAGGCATTGTGTTAAGTGCTTTATAATTATTATGTCATTTGATCCTTACCCTGGGAGGTTGGTGCTATTATTGTCCCCATTTTGCAGATGAGGAAACTGTGGCAAACAGAGGTTAATTAACTTACCCAGGGTCATATAGCTAGTAAGTATCTGAGGCTAGATTTGAACTCAGGTCTTCTTGACTCCAGGCCCATTGCACCTCCTAGCTCCCCCACTGCGCACAATGAGTTGTTTAAAACTCAGAATGGATCCTAAACCTTCTTTCTCAATGTCACTTCTGCTGTATTAGAAGACACAGGAATTCATGTCACATACAGAAGGAACACAACTAATGAAGAACCATTTCTTCAAAAGTCCTCAGGACTTGTCCATGTTATGGACAAGATAGAGAGATGTTGACTGAATGATAATTCTATGGTCATGGCAACCCATGAAACACAGAAAAATCCAAAGTAGCTCTAAGTCCTGAGTGACCCTTTCTGCTTCTGTAGTGACATTGGCAGAATGCTGGAAGGGGGGTCAAAGAGCACAAAGAATCACATTTTTCATCACATCTATAAACTTTCCCATGGCTGTTGGCATTCTAAACATTAAATTCTTGTCTTATGAGCAACAAGTGGACATTCAATTGCTACTAATAGTTGAGATTTACATGGAGCCTTAAGGTTTGCAAAGAATTTTATGTATATACTATCCCGATATCCCTTGATTCTCACAAACCTGTGAGATATTATAGCCTCAGTGATAAGTAACTTGTGAGGGTCACACAGGAAGTTAATAAAGCAGGGTTTGAATGCAGGTCTTCCCAACTCCCAAGCCCAGCGATCTATTTACTATACCATGCTGATTCTGTAGCATGGATGCAAAGAGTGCAAAGGGGTGTAGGCATACAAATAATCCATGTGAAAATGATTTGGGAGTTTCTATGGATGTCAAGTCAACTTGAATCCATGTGACACGACAGCCAAAAAAGGCAATGTGATTTTTGTGCTGCATTAATAGATTTATAATGCCTAGAATAAGGGAGAGGCTTAAGGGATAAGGCTGTGAACCTGCTGAGTGTGGTCTCATTTTGACTATGGTCTCATTTTCTTCTGTCCTGGTTAGATAACATTTGGAATATTTTCTTCAATTCTAAGATTCTTTCAATCCCTATATTTTAGGAAATATATTGAAAAACGAGAGCAAATCCAGAGGAGAACAATCACGATAGGCCTCAGTTTCCTCATCTGTAAAATGAGGTTGGAGTAGATGATTTCTAAGATCTCTTCCAGTTTTAACACTAATTCCAACAGCTGTTTAATAGCTGATTAAAAAAAACCCCAAAATGAATTAACTATAAATGAACCCTGAGTCCCATGTGCCCACCAATTTGAGAATTTCTTTCTCAATTCAGTGTTCTCAACTAACTGAAATATTTGGCATTAAGTACAATGTTAAATGACAAAACTATGCAAACAAGAAATGCTGTTCTTTTCTAAAACAGAACTTCTTTGCCATCTGAATTGTGTGTGTGTGTG